AAGGCAAATATGATAAGAAGAGACCCGAGGGCCGTAGGTTTCACTAGTGGCTTCTCTTGAGAAAAATAGCAAACGGTGGGAAAATAATTACTGTTGGGCAATTGATAGAACTTCAAATAATCATGACGATATCCAGGCAATGATCATTATATAGGCATTGCGTCCAAGATTAGTAGACCGACTCCTGCCTGCATCTACTACTATTACTCCACACATCGACCGCTATCCAGCATGCATCTAGTGTATTAAGTTCATGGAAAAACGTTGTAATGCAATAAGAACGATGACATGACGTAGACAAGATCTAGACATGACGTAGACAAGATCTACTTATGTAGAAATAGACCCCATCTTGTTACCCCACAAGATCTATGTGTCGTTTCCCCTTCTGTCACTAGGATCAAGCACCGTAAGATCGGACCCATCACAAAGCACCTCTTCCCATTGCAAGATAAATAGATCAAGTTGGCCAAACAAAACCAAAATATCGGAGAAGAAATACGAGGCTATAAGCAATCATGCATATAAGAGATCAAAGAAGACTCAAATAACTGCCTCGGTCTTGTTTTCATTCTTTCTTATATTTTATAGTCTTAGCCTTTTGTAGTTTTTTTCCTTGTAGTCTCTTAGCCTCTTCTTTGTTTTTCTAGTTTCTTAGCTTCTTTAGGGGGCTTCTCTCAAGCCCCTGATATTCTATGTAACTTTGCTACCTTGCACTTTGGCTCTTTGTTATTTATAAAAAATACAGTGGGGTGTTTACCCTACTGTTTATTTATAGTAAAAAAAGAGATCAAAGAAGACTCAAATAACATTCATGGATAAAAACATAGATCTGGTCATAAACACAAAGTTCATCGGATCCCAACAAACACACCGCAAAAAGATTTACATCATATGGGTCTCCAAGAGACCATTGTATTGAGAATCGAGAGAGGGAGAGAGAGAGAGAGAGAGAGAGAGAGAGGAAGCCATCTGGCTACTAACTACGGACCCGTAGGTCTATAAAGAATTACTCACGCATCATCAGAGAGGCACCAATGGACATGATGAACCCCTCCGCGATGGTGTCTAGATTGGATCTGGTGTTTCTGGAACTTGCAGCGGTTGGAATTGATTTTCGTCTACTCCCCCAAGGTTTATGGAATATTGGGGTATTTATAGAGCAAACAGGCGGTGCGGGAGGCCACCGAGGTGGGCACAACCCACCTGGGCGCGCCTGGGCCCCCAGGCGTGCCCTGGTGGGTTGTGCTCCCCTCGGAGCTCCCCTTAGGTACTTTCTCGGCCCATACAGTGTCTTCTGGTCCAGAAAAAATCCACAAAAAGTTTCGCTGTGTTTGGACTCTGTTTGGTATTGATTTCCTGCGATGTAAAAAACAAGCAGAAAACAACAACTGGCACTAGGCGCTATGTCAATAGGTTAGTACCAAAAAATGATATAAAATGATTATAAAATGATTGTAAAATATCCAAGAATGATAATATAACAGCATGGAACAATCAAAAATTATAGATACGTTGGAGACGTATCAGTCCCAAAAAATGATATATAATTGCATATAAAACATCCAAAATTGATATTATAATAATATGGAATAATAAAAAATTATAGATACGTTGGAGACATATCAATGTTGACCTGCACAATTTTCTAGCTAAAGAGGAAATTTCCTAGTCGCAAAGATCTCATGAAATGTGGCTCCTTAAGGGGAGTTAGAATACTACTCAGTTTCGTGTTATTGATAATGGTAGGAACAAAAAAACACAATTTCTCCCTTGAGTGATTGTGATGTTACTATTTAGTGCATTGATGAGTTGCTTAAGCATGCTACTGGCTATCATAAAGAGTTGTTTGGACCTGCACCTAGTAACATGTATCATTTGTGTGATGGGTTGTGGGCTCCTAATGAAAAATTATCTGATCTAGATACCTTTCTACTAGCAAATGCTTCAGCAAGGTGGAAGTAAAACATGTTCTATTTTTTATGAAATCTAGTCATATCCTGGCCATGATAATATACCCATAGAGTTTTTTCAACACTATTGGGATGTGGTCAGTGAGGATGTCATGCGTTTATTTGAATGTATTCATGTTGTTTCTCTAGAAGTTCAACAATTAAACTGTGGTATTATTGCACTACAAACCCAAACTTTCTGATGCAAGCAAGATACAACAATTTAGGCCCATTGGTTGATTGAGATGTTTTTACAAGCTTAACACAAAAGTTTTGATTGTTCGTCTTGAGCCTTTTGTTGATATTTTGTTTAGTAGACACCAGAATGCTTTAATAAAAGTTGTGCCATTATGGATGGCATCATGACATTGCATGAAATATTGCACCATACTTATGTGAACAAAAGAAGAATCATTATTGTTCTTAAGCTATATTTCGTTAAGGCCTATGACAAGGTCAACTGGGAATTCCTACTTGATTGTCATTCTGTACATGGGTTTGGCACTAAGTGGATTTGTTGGAATAGACATATTATGCTCGGCGGTGATGTATGTGTTAAACTAAACATTGTAACTGGGCCCTACTTCCAGAGATCCAAGGGGGTGCGCGAAGGGGGGCACTTATCTCCTTTTTTAACCTGGCAACTGTGAGCCTCGCTGAAATTGGTACACAAGCACACTTTAATGGGCTTTTGACTGGGCTGGAAATTGATCTTGTTCCTAATGGCATTGATATTTTACAATAAGCCACCAATACTGAGGATTATCCAGAATGAAATCATGTCAGATTTAAAAAATAATTATAAAAAGTGAGGTGTGTGTGCTATTGGGGGTGATGAACCTAATGTGGAAACTTATGTTGGGATGTTCAATTTGCAGATCAACTCCTTTCCTTTTAAATATCTAGGCATGCATGTAAGTTATGTTGGCCTAAAAGTGTATGACTGGAGCTTTCTTGATATTCAATTACTTCAGAAATTGATTCTTGGGTTGGGTATGCCATGTCTATGGAAGGTCGTACTATCTAGCTTAATTATGTCCTATCCCACATCCATCTTATATATGTCAGTGTTTCTTATGAATAGAACTATGATTAAGAAATGGGATAAACCTAGAAGAAAATTCCTTTGGCGACGTTGTGGAAAAAAGAGATATCATTTGGTGAAATGGGGCATTATTTGTAGATAAAAAAGCAAAGGGGGCCTGGGTGTCAAAGATCTCAGGAAACAAAATATAAGTCTATGAGTCAAATGGTGGTGGAAATTAGAAAACAAACTATATGTCTATTAGTCAAATGTTGGTGGAAATTAGATAAAAGGTAGTGGACTATGGCAAGAAGTTTTTAAAGCTAAATATTTGAAGAACTCTATTGTTGCCTCGGTTAAAGCTAAATATTAGAAAAGGAACTATATGTCTATTAGTCAAATGTATGATTCTCCTTGTTGGAAGGCAATAATGAGAGTGAAAGATTTATATATGGTGGGTAGAGGGGGTTGTGCTAATTAAGGGTAATACTGCTAGACTGTAGAAATGTATCATTTTTTAAAATAGACCCTTTTGTGAGAAATTCCCTTTGCTTTGTGGTGTTTGTTTAGAACAAAATTGCACTATGGAAAAACTTGAGTCGCTTAATCTTGTAACATCCTTTAGAAGAACATTGTCCCACGTTATGGCTGAACAATGGGAGAGAATGAAAAATATGTGATGACATACTATTCCTATATGTGATTTATCTGATGATATCATCTGGAAACTCAACATAAATCATATCTACACTACTATATCTATGCATTGCTGTCTCAAAAAACATCTTGTTGGGGCTAATTTCAAATGGATCTGGGACACTAAAATCCCTCTCAAAATTCATATTCCTATGTCAGTTGTTTCAAAATGTTGTCCTTACCATGAAAGTTATAAGAAAAATGCATTGGCCTCGAAAGCGTACTTGCTCTTTATAAACTCAGACTAGACTTCCCAACACATGTTCTTCTTGTGTCCGATTGCTAGAGTGGTCTGAAAAACTGCGGGTGCGGTATTGGGGACTGATCTGTGTCCTAACTCGTTGTGGCGGTTTTATGTGTGGAGTTTTGCTTTCCTTTGTGGAGGTGAAAAACAATCGTGCCACTTTTGAGTACAAATGGACCAGAATTCCTTTTGAGATAGTGTTTACACCTTGTTCTTTCATGTTGTATTGAACATGTATTTCGAAGCCAAAGTTGGTTGATGTTGTGAAGCATGGTGGTAAGATGCTAAAAGAGATTGCTACATAGATGATGCTAATGGTGTGGATGTCGTGTTGTTGGTCTGCTATAGACATTTGTGACCCAATATCCAGCGAACGTTCGTCGGGAGGGGTGGCATTTATGAACATTTTTGCTGGAAGTTTCTTCAGAGATGCATGGTAATTTTTCAGAGGTGCATGGCATTTTCTGGAAGCAAGAAATTTTTGCGACAAAAACATATAGAATTTGCCAGCCATCGAAAGGCGTTTGTTTGCCATCCTCTTCTAGGGAACGTTTACCAGTTAGTATTTTCGTTGTGCTTTTGGGTGTTGTTGCGTCTTGGTTTGGATGGAAAATCATCTTTGTCTGTACTATTTTCTTGTGGTTGGTACTGCTTAATATGTCTAGTTTTTTCCATGCGGTGGGTTTTCTCATAGCGCTGAACTCGTTGTTGTCTCTTCCCCGCCCATGTTATCTCTCTCTTGAGTAGCCCGGTTTGAAGGAAGGGAAAATTCCACCACAACGTACTGAATATTTTCTACAGATCGAATCAGACCAAATCGCACAAATCTAACACCATTCGTACGTATACGTGATCATAAAGCTGCGACTTTATTATCATTATTATTATTCCACTACTCACGCGGCCGTCCCATCGCACACGTACACGGCCGTACACACGGTCGTTTACGTGAGAGTAAGCTTGGTGCGGGGACACCGCAGAGAACAGGCAACGACGACAGTATTCATGGACGGACGGACGGACGGACGGACAGACGGAGGGTCGTCCGCGGCGGCCACCCTGGCGACGAGGCAGCTAAAAGCTGCTAGTTCTTGAGGAGGTAGTCGTCGAGGTCGTGGAAGGTCTTGGCGGCGGTCTCCTTGATGACGTCCGGCTCGGGCACCCCGTCGCTGGCCTTGTCGAAGTCCATGGTCCAGTTCACCACCGCGCCGGCGCCGTCGGCGCCCTTGTCGGTCACCTGCACCGTCACCCTGAAGTTCTTGTAGAAGCTCACCAGCTCGCCGTCCACCACGCTGTACGACACCACCTTCTTCTCGTCGTCCGCCACCTCCACCTTCTCCTTGGCGAACGTCACCATCGGAACCCCTGAACGCAACGCACCCAATGCTCACGTTACATATGCACTTACAAGCTTACACATACTCGTCTGGACATGTGGATCGTTTCACGGCGCGCGCACGTACCCTCGGTGTACTTGATGAGGCGGACGGTGCCGGCGGACTTGCCGTCGCCCTCCACGGTCTCGATGCTCTTGTACTGCTCGGGGAAGATCTTGGGGAACAGCTCCGTCGACTCGCGCATCGCCGTCCACAGCTTCTCCGCCGGCGACTTCACCTCCACCACCAGCTCGACCTTGGACGCCATCGATCGACCGGGATGCAAGGTTGTACTGCGGTCAAACCTCTTGCCAGCTACTTGATCAGTGAAGTGACTGTGGTGCTTGTGGTTTGGCCATGGCGAGAGCCTGCGACCTTATATAGGTGATCGAGCTGCTAGTGTTCTCCAGAGGGGATTGTACCTGTGGGTGCTACTTGCGCTGCACATTGAAGAATTTCCGGCAAGATCCATCTACCCTTGTCAGGCTCCAATTTATGGCGTCGGTGATGAGGATCAATGTATATTCATGGGGGTGATAATTCAGAGCAAACGCACAACCGTCTGCATGTGAGAAACTGTACAGGGGTGGAACTCTTGATCTGAAAAAGTGGGCAATAACACTGGTCTGGTTTGCGGTTGGAACCAGGCCCCCCATAAATAAAGTCTGAAATGTTTGATCGACTGATCAATCAAGTCAGTGATCTTCCCACAAATCAAATCATCAAGGTGATAGGAGCAGCGGTGAGAGTAGGTGATTAGTTAGCCCCCTGAACACGTTATGTATGGAGTAACACTAAAATTTGTGGAAACAACAGGAGGCAATTAATCAAGTGATGCCCACGGCCATATGTATTGTTTTAAACACCACAGCCACATATTGAACAAATCAGCTTGCAAAGCGGGGGGAAAAAACTCAAGGCCATCCACCACCTAGGGATGCATCACCACATCATCCCCAAGCAGATAAAGGGTACAACACTTCAAGACAACATCTTCGAGAAGGAATTGCCGCTTGCATGTCGATGTTGGCTAGTCCAGCCAGAGGTATCACACTGAAACAAATCTGAACCAGCATCTTCAATAAGTAACGACGCCCCTGATTAAGCCGGAAAGTTAGATCACGGGTTTTCACCCTGAGAAAATACACCCGCCAGCCCAAAGGTATTGGCACCCACCAGAACAGAATTGCACACAAAGCAGAGGTTATGTTGAGATAGTGATGGAGCATGATTAACCTCCCGCAAAGCCCGACCACACACATCCAGCAAATCTGTCCGTCCATACGAGCGAGGCAGGCACAGCTCTACCGCTCAGCTCACCTCAGAATGCTCTGCACTGCAGTCATGCCCCAGAGTTTACACTACTCCTACATACAAACTCATAGCAGCGGCGCAATCATCAGACAAGCTTGCCTGTGACACACAGTGAGATTCCACTTACTACATCTTCTTGCGAACTCCCACTTAATTACTTTGGCCGGACGACTCAGGCCGCCGCGCCGTCCACCTGCTGCGTGCGCCGCTTACTGGACTCCTTGATCTTCAGCAGCTCGTCACAGATGATCCACGGGAAGCTCCAGAACTGCTTCTTTCCCGGCCGTCGGTGTTCCGGGTGATAGGTCACACGGTACCATGCCGACGCCCACCTTGACGCCTCTGCCTTCGGGCGGCTCCTGAACCAACCCTGCACCTCCTTGTGCAGGCCCTCCACCGAGTTGATGATGCGGTCCTTCATCTCGAAGTACCTCTTGTTGTCCTTCTTCAGGTACAGGAGCCTATTCCGGATGTTGCCTGTCAGGATCTCGTCCTCATGCTCCGCACCATAGTAGCTCATCAGGGTGCTCAGCTTCTCCGCGTACAGGTCATAGCACTCCTCCGCAGATGCCAGGAATTCCTCGAAGCCAGGGACCTCTAGGTCAGGATCGAACACGGGGCTCGATTGAGCCGAAGACGAGGGGGCAGGAGCGCTCTGCATACGGCTCGCAGCCGCTCGATAGAGCTTGCCGAGAGCTCCGTTGGAGATGTACGTTGGTTTGTCCCACCGTTCCATGAAGTCGGGGTACTCCTTTGGTCTCAGTGACCGGGGCATTTCAGCTGGAGCTCCTGACTTGGCAAAGTCAACTGCCATCGAATGCAAAGCAGCTAGTTGGAGGCACTCAGGGCTCCGGGCTTTCATTGGATGACGATCCGCGTGGACCAAGTGAGCAGTTGAGATTGCACCGAGCGAGTCATTTATCATGTAATCCACAAAGTACTTCTGAATTTCCTGCAGTTCATCAGGTGTTCTTGTAAGATTACAGGTATAAACATGTCAGGCAAGGAAAATACATGTACTTGTTGAAAAGACAACCTTGAACTGCTTATTGGAGCTAATTGGTAAATACTCCCTCTGTTCCTAAATATATGACGTTTTGGCAGTTCATTTGAATGTGGCCAAAACGTCATATATTTAGGAACAGAGGGAGTAGTTGTGAAGCTATCAAGGTTAGATATATACATTGAAGAGCATTTTAAAGCCAACACCACTTTAAAACTCAATCATGCACAACTGTTTTCATTAGAGGATGGCAAAAAATGTCTTTCTTTCTGAAATAAATACCCACAGTTCTAAAGAACATTATTAACTGTGCATGGCGAAAAATTCAAAAAAATACTGTGCATGGCGAGCATATATTTGGTTCAAAGCATGCAAAATTTTGTACCAAATTTGGAAAGTGCACGGCTCAGTCTGGCATTGAGGGGCGGTGCTGCTCCAACCAGCCACCACATCGACAACTAAAGGAACCACTTAGTAGTGTGGTTACCTCATTCGCATCGATATCAGGTGTTCATCCCTGAAGATGAGGTGGAGTTACATATAGTTCCAAACAATCCATCGAGGGTTGTTGGCGCGTCTTCATGTAGCGGCCGATGGGCCTTTGGTCATTCGATTTATTGGGGGTAATCAGTGGAAGATGGACTCTAGCTCGGTCTCACATGGTGCGGCGAAATCGGCCTGAGGCACTTAGCACGCAGGGATAGAGAAAACAGAAAGGCAGGAAAGGAGTGGTCAGCCAGACTTAGTGTTGGAATTTTCAGGTTACTTGCCTTATTTCTCCACTCTAACTAAATTAGTAAATGAGCTGTAAACTTAATTAAACCTGACATGGGTGCAGTATAGAATGCGTGTGTGCCATTTTGTGTACAATCACGCCGTCAGGTTCTTGATATGTTCAGTTATGCAAGCTCAAAATAGGCTGATATTATCACAAAATTTTCAGCAGTGACCACTTAGAATGTTTGTCAGGCTACAAAGAATTGGAAGATAGAATGCACTTTTCACCAAATTTGGAAAGTGCACAGCTCAGTCTGGCATTATTGCTTATTGATAACGTCCTGGATTTGTCATGTAGTCATGTGGTCATGTTTGTCAGGCTACAAAGAATTGGAAGATAGAATGCACTTTTCACCAAATTTGGAAAGTGCGCGGCTCAGTCTGGCATTATTGCTTATTGATAACGTCTTGGATTTGTCATGTGGTCATGTTGTGGTTTAACAAAATAACTTTTCCTCGGACCTAAAAGAGTTATAGAGCAGTCAAAAACTAGACCACCGGGACAAGAAAGAGACAAACATGGAAAGAAAGAGAGAAAATAAAAGATGTGAAGAAATATAAGAGTGCTTAGATAACTACTTTAGTGATCTAAACGCTCTTATATTTCTTTACGGAGGCTTCCTACACTGCAGTTTTTCCTTCCCATTTTGTCAACTTCAAAACCAAGCTAATATATCTTTCCAGGTTCTGTGGGAACCCATGAACCAATAGGCAAGCAATAAAAAGAAGTTGTTCAAAATGAATGATTTTAGCCTGTGATTTGTGTGCATCAGAAGTTTTGTTTAAAGAATTACTTCTTTGATGATTTATAACAGGAAACATGGCATAACAATGGTAAACGGTGCGGCGAAGCGCACATTTTCTTCTACTACCTCCGTTCCTAAATATAGGTCTTTGTAGAGATTCCACTATGGACTACAATATGTATGTATATAGATGCATTTTAGAGTGTAGATTCACTCATTTTGCTCCGTATGTGGTTCATAGTGAAATCTCTACAAAGACTTAAATTTAGGAACAGAGGGAGTAGTATTTATTGAAATGCTACAGATTGTAAAAAACTGAGATTTTGATTATATTTGCAATTGCAAGTATAAAAATGATATTAGTCAAATAAAACAATCTTCGGTAAATTAGCAGCACCAACCTAGTAAGAGAAATTAAAATGAATAAACAGTGAGGAATATACCTCAAGTGTAACAACATGATCCATTATGCGTGGCCTTGCTGCAGTGTAGTCCATAGGTGAATCAACCTCCTCTGGAATCAGTTTCTCATCCCAAGTGATAAAATAGAGGTCACCGTCCAAATCGCCCCCGGAGCATTCATTTGGATGAGGCCTGATTAACATCAAAGATTAAAGTCTATATAGACGAGGCCTATTAAACATCAAAGATTAATTGAAGGAGAAAGCAAGCATTGGCAACATCCATCAATAGGTAGAGATGTAAGTACGTAACATGAATGGATATCAATCTAACATGGAAATGAACACGCTGACAAACACTTCAATAGAGATTTGAGCTCCTCTGAAGGCATTGACAGAGCAATGTAAACTCTAGATGATCGTCTTTCAGTTTCAGTATAACATACGGCATTACCTTTCTCCTCTTTGGGGGAAGACAACACAATCAATCAGGTTCTTTGCATACAAACCATGGTCATAGACAGCTTCAAGTACTCTGATGTCACCAGGATGGAGACAAGGATTTTTCGATACTGCAACTTTTCCAACAACAACGGCTGTTTTCTCTTTTCCATTATCTTCAGCAAAATATGGCTGACGATTATCCTTCTGCTCTTTGCTGTTCTTTGTAATTCTGATGTACACTTGACCATATTCTAATTCACCTGTTTCATCCAAACAACCAAGAAGAACACGGGCCTTCGGAACATGAATCTTACATCTAGTTCTTATGTCAGTCAGCCTATTATCCTGATGGGCCTTAAGAATCATCAACAGGTAAGGCTCTAAACTTGGTTCATAACCTTGCAGTAAAATTTTCGATGCTGTCTTCGTTTCTGCACTGCCAATTTTCCCCAGAACAGAGAGAGCAGCTTCTCTGTTGGTCAGCATTTCATCTAATTCACGCATATCATCGTGTTGCATCAACTCAAATATCTCATCTCTTATCCCCAAAGTTGAAAGGAGAGAGATGATTTCACGATTCATA